AACTAAGAACCTCTACACATTTAAGGTGCGTTTTCACGAGACAGACTGCAGTAGGCATATATGGAAATAGGTATCATGTAAATTAATACTGATTACTACTGCTGTCTGTCGCTGCACTTGTCCTTTGCCGTGTCTCGCAAAATCGCACCTTTAGTGCACTCACGATTTGATATTTCGATCTCTTATGCGTACATTTTTATTGTTATTTAAATTTATAGCGGCGTTATCGGTCCATTGTTTACAGTTCAGTTTGTTGGCCGGTGACGTAACGCTTTGGTGTCGAGGTGGCCGGAATGTTTTTCACAATCGACTCGCCGCCGCGAAAGATTTACAGGCGTTTGGTGTGATGCTGTATGTAGCGGGGAGTTATTTCCGACGGAATCCGCCTTGTGGATTCGCTCCGACCGAAATAGTATCATCGATCTTATTTGCGAGCGGTATAACGTCGGCAGCGTATTTATTTCAATACTTATCCAATATTATTTTGGGCCAAATTTTGCAATCGCATTTAGTTCATTGCGCGTTTCAATTGTCGTAAACCTTATTCTTTTATGCATGGATGTAAGTACTATTTTTATTTGAATAATATTTTTTATAGAGCAATAACTGCACACGGTAAAATAGTCAAGAACTACTACAGTAAGAAACTAGTCTAGTGTGAAAGTAACAAATATTAATTGCAGAAACAGATAATCCGTAAAAATTTTGAAACTTTTCTATTTACACAATCTTAATATACACAAAGCCAAAGCAAACATTAACATATAAACAACAAGGAACAAGCATAACAAACATCGTTACACAAAATTTGCAATTCCGTAATTGTCTGCAGCATTTTATTGAATTAGTCCGTTGATTGTCGGTGGCAAGAGGTCGCGTCGAGGTTGGCTCTGCACTAATTGGGGCCTTAGCGCTTCGCCCACGTGCCTATTGTGCCCGGTGTGCCCCGGACTATAACCCGGACGATTCAAGTGCGCTTCTATGTTAGTGTAGCCGCTAAAGATTCTTCGCACTTTTGTAATAACCGTGGTTTCACAAGAAAAGTTTACGTGCTTTCCTTGGTACTTATTCTTCATAGATGTAAAGCAGTGAGTTCAATAGGAATATAAACAATTTTAATACAGACCATACCATTGGTCTAATATAGTCGTGAAAATGTATTTTGTATTCCAAGGACGTTCGATTGCGTATTTGCAACTCGCGCTGTACCATTCGGCCGCGGCCGTTTATCTCAATAATTTATAGTTGTTATTAGCGAACGTGTGTCGAAAGCTTTCAATAACAACGCATAAAATATTTGAGTCGATATCAAGGCACGCCCTGAGTGCATTTGTTTGTGCAAACATCTAACTGGAATAAACACGAACATGTCGAAAGCCCTCCTATATCCTATTAGACTTGCGAGCAAATCTTATTAGCATGGATTTTCAAAGCATGATTTATTTGCTTTAAAATATATTTAATTTAAATAACAGCTACAATGTAGTCTGGATATTTTTATTGTTTATTATATTCAGCAAAACGAGAACTCGGTGTAATTATAAAACATGTTTACATTTCACTCACGCATTTCAATGTTGCTCTTTCCTCAAACATTTAACTCAAATATTTACGCTGACGGCCATTTTAAAGTTTTTATCATCAACAAGATTGGTCTCAAATGGTGCCGTGGAACTGGTTTAGATGGTTTTGTTTTTAACCGATGTGTTTGCTCTGTGGCGGCCTTGACTCAGCGAAGGACGACTGGCGGGGCGCGGGTCTAGGTGACAGTGACAGACGGCGGGCAGAGACAAGTCCTTTTTATTATGTTCTATTTTGAATCTGTTGTAATTTTCATTTTGTAGCATTATTACAAGAGATAGATAATACTTCTTTTGTTAATGTTTTGGCATTTTTTCTCATAAAATATATTTTTATTCTTCGGATCCCTTGGAGCGTAATATTTAAATAACCAGAGGATTGTTCCTGTTGACCTTTCAACCTTTTCCCTCGTCCCGTACTTATAAAGTTAGGAACCCTTTACCCTTTTAACAACCTGACCTTTAAGGGTCTCAGAGTAAAGCTCTCAAGTATATAAAACTGTCAGCGTAAGAAAACTGTGTGGAAAAGTATTTTTTTGGTCTGAAAAGATGATAACAACAAATCTATTTTAAGTTAGAATGCATGTACACAATGCATGGGTAACAATTGTTTATAATTTGCGTCATTACGTTCGATTCCGCGCATATTTTGGCAGTCTCTGCTGGTAACTTATTGGCATAGACAAAGGCAACATCAAAGAAAATACACTAACCGAAGTTCATAACAAGAGAAGCCAGGACATAACTCATGAAGATGTTTACGAAACAACGGTAGAGGGCACAAGAGAGCTTGATAATTTTTGCAAGCTTATAAATCAACACGCCCACATTCTGTAACCGAACCACTTTGGCAAATACAATTCGTTGTAAAATGTGTACATTTTTTTTTAGAAAAAGAATGGTTTTCTTTAGCGTTTTGCACTTGCCTTAAATTATTCCCCAAGGAAATTTTTTTAGGAGGTTTTATCTGAACCTGATATGGTGAACAAATTGTAATATACTGTCCCAGGTATGGCTGAAGTGCAAACCAGAATGTCTCTAATGTTACATTTATATGAATGTCATTGTGTTATACCAACCTTAAGGCAATATATGAAGATTGTACAGTATTTCGTAATGATGTCACATTTCGTGACATGAAAAAGGAAACGTATATAAAATGGCTTATTCATGTTCGGAAGTGAACGTGGAAATAGCAAATCCGCGTGTAAGTCGCGTACGTCCACACCCACTGTATAGTGGACACGTAATGGAATGTTTTGGACACGTTCGTTTCGCAAATAAAACGATTCGATGCTTGACTTTATCTGTTGGGTCGAAATCGACAGTAAAACTTTATGGTTCTTTTAGTGAAATTGTTGCTATACTAAAAGCCTTATCGTATAGCTCGTAAAATGTACCAATTTGATCTTCGAAATGTTTGTATGGTTTTGGGGTGACTAGTGTTACCTAATATGACTGTTTAAACCCGTTTCACTGTTTTTAATATTACTTCTTGAAGGTATTACTTATATAGGTTGACAAATTAATTATACAAATGAAAAGAACACACCAAAAGACATCATCATTAATATTTTTCGGGAATATTTTTCTTCAGTAATATGTAAGATTTACAGAAACTTCATTATTTATTAACAATCTTTTTAAATTAGACCAAAATAATGGTCCTCTTTACACCGAGTTTTATTGTATACGTCCGTGAAAATGCTCTGTTGACATCTAAATATAAACCTGGCAGCTACAATGCTATCCAAACTTGAAAAATGCTCTCAATTTCCTACGAGATACAGCCCTTTCTCCAGCTATTTGCAACTGTGGGTTCACCTAGCACACACCTGCATAGCTGTAGTTATGTTTGAACCTTTTAATACATTTCCATTGATAAATCATAGTGTTTCGTCTTGTATCAGTCGCACAGTGTGCACGGTCATTGCACCTTTGTGCCGTCTCCGCCATAGAACATATTTCCAATGTCCTTATCTTAGATTTACCGGTCATTGAACTTGTACGTTAGTTTTACTGGCTTTTGTACGTGAATTATTAGTGGGTTGCTGAAGATGGAACAGGCGTTTGTTTTAGGGCTTATAAGGGGACATGCTCATAGTGTTCATATAGTTTACTCTTGCTTCGAATGATCGGTTAGTAAGTCTTTTTTAATTAAGTGTAGTTAGTAACACATTAAAGAAGATGGAGGATACGTTCAGTTGTCTTTTATTTACTACCACTGCTTGCTGTAAACAACCTCATCCGAATAAAATGGATAGTTATAGCGTCATCTCCTTACAAGTTGATAAGAACTGGTTAAGCCAATAATGTATGGTGTCATGTTATTGTTATAATGGATTATTGTTGTCCTTTAGATGTTGAAAAGCCATCTTGCAAAAGTTGTAGCAAAAAAAAATATTTGTGTTGTCTTTCTCTACCTATTTGTGGAAACAGCATTAATAATATATTTTAAACAGGCTATAATCTACAGTTAGTTAATTAATCTATGTACATGTATGTTTGTACACAATGGGATGTAAATTCAAAGTAATGCGAGTTACGTTTATTTCAGCGTCGTATTTGTTGTAGAAATTAAATAGTATCTTTAATACAAGTTTCCTTATCGTCGAAAATATTGATCAGACTGCTGTTTGATGATGACTGTAAATGCAAATAATTGTTCATACAAATAATGCAATATCTCAACTAACTTGTTACGATTGCAATATAATCAAGTTTAATTATGTTAAAGTGAGTATTGATTAAAGTTAAGTGTATTTTTTGATATATAGATTTTAGACTATCCATTAATAATATCTTATATTGATGACAAAATAAAGAGGTTTGAAATTTTTAAATAATTTATTTGTTAATTAAATACCAAGGCAAGGAATAACCTAAATGTAGTAATATTACCATTTATATCTTTGTTTTTGTATAGTGTTATTCAGTTTGTTGTATATTATTGTAAATTAAAATCAATTGGATGATTTAGTTATTTAGTGCCGGTTAGTTAGCGGGGCTCGTAGCCGGATCAGCGTCCTCGCTCAAAGTGGATAATCACGAGCGCACTTGCGAATTTGTCTACAGTCAGGTAGTCAACAGCGTGTGTTTATTCAATCAATTCGCAATCGTTGAATGGAAAAATTCTATAATAAAACTTTTCAGAAATGCGAAATTTGGTACCTAGATTACTCTGAAGAGATTCTTGTGTTTAATTCATACGGTAATCAGCTAAGTCATTTATAAGTTGATGAAGGGGGAACACTCAGTCGAGTTGAGTTGATGAGTCTTGTACAATTTGCGATTAAAGTCTTAGAAGATCGGCATTAAGATTTATCTGCTGTTGGTATAAAACCTAAACTTTTTGTAATGTTTCTTAAATATCTGCTATAAAGAAACTTGTATTAATGTGTTTGTTTCCTTGTACACCAGGTGTTCGGTACAGTGGAGTTGCCGGACAAGCCGATCATGCTGCCACCGTTTGTGGAGGCGACGCACTGTCTCGGCTACCACCTGACCCGCAAGGGGCGTGCGGTCGCGGACCGCGTCGTCTCCGTGCTGGGCTACGCCTGCCCCGACATCACTTATAGTCCCAGCCTGTACCCCATCACTGCGGCATTGCTTCATTTTATGCCTGGTGAGTATTCTTACATTATTGTTTTTTCTGATGTTAACCAAACTGGAGAAGAAAATGTCACGCCCCGACTTGATAATTCTATTATATTTGATATTAGACTTATAAGTGATGAAAATGCGCTAATTTTTACTAAATTTTCGTATTTATCAATTGTAAGAAATAATTTGATTTATGAATTGTTCGCAAGTTAAATCTCACAAGCTATTAGCTCTATTATAACAGGCAATTAATTTTAAAGCTCATTCCGTTCCCCGTGGAACATAGCTCCAGGAATTGGCGCTGTTAATTTTATTGGCTCGCTTCAGCCGCTTTATTAATTTTACCCGGCAGTAATGATCGCTTAATATCGCCCCATTAGCTACCAATGCGTTATGGAAATGCATCGCTTGACTGCATTTTGTTCTTAGTTATTGAGATTTGGGGAAGTAAGTAGATTTGTTTATTTTAAAACAGAAATGGGAATTTTATGAAACAGTATTCAGTAATGAGGAAGTAAAACTTTAGGGTCCATTGATGGGAAGTGACAGGTAACAACCGGTTACATAAAACATCCTTTTGATTCAGCAAGCCAGAGGCGTCACCAAATATACTGTCGCTCTCGCCTTAATTCAGTAATGAGCGCGGGGGGCAATAATTGCGCAGAGCAATAGGCAAATTGCCGGAGCTACCTTCCCAGCTTGTATTCGGAACCCATTTGTGTAATTTTGAACTTTAATCCAATCCCATAAAGTCGGTTTTGACGTGTCTCGAAAATATTACTCTCTATTTAAATCCGAATCGAAATGGAACCCTCTTCCATGGTAATAAAATTTAAAGTAGCTCGTCGTAAAGTGTGACCGAGTTGGTACGATAAATGGTGATCGCATCGTCACAGATTTGAATTGCGTTCGTCGCGCTGTCAATTCCGAACGTCTCACTCGTTGGGGCGCAAGCACATTTATAATTGGCTGGAATGCGACCGATATGGCACACTTATTTCGGTCCGAGTTCGCATAATTTGATTGTTTATCAGGTATCTTAGACGGTTGTGACAATGAAAAGATTTGGGACACCTGACCGGTGACCGACCGAGAGGAGGCGGTAATCAGTGGCGTCAATTTGTCCGCCGGATGGGCCCGAGTGTTCATTTCCTTCTTAGTGACATCTTCACACCTTTTAACGGTCCACTTGTTATTGTTTCGTTGTTTGCTGCGCACATTCGGGCGTATATAACTGCTTTTACATTATATACGACATCCGATGGTTTAGGGAATTGTAACCCTAAACAGCAAATAAGGAAATTTCGCAGTTAGCTTATTATTGCACATATGCATATAACTTTCGCAAAGTTGGAGTTTTACATATAATATTTAGTGTACTGTCATTTAATTTAAGTGTCCAGCTTTTTCTATCACTTTACAAAGAGGTCATACCACATTGTTTACATTTCTTCTAATGTTATAAATGTACACTTACGTAAAAACCACAGCTAAATAACACGGCTACCTCGTTCTTGTGTATTTAAAGATCTATAAAAGCGGTCGCAATTTTATCTTACAGTCTATTCCCGTCGTCACATCTAGAGGCGAGATCGGAACGCATACGACACGCCAATTTATATTCACGACGCCGTTTCCGGGGACCAGACCTTCGATTGATTGTATTATATCGAATCAGACGGATGAATGGCCTCAGAACTAGTGCTGTTGTATTTAAAATATAGTTTTAAATCTTTATTTTTATAAATGGAGTGTTCTAAAGTCTATTAAAAGATTACGTTAATGATAACTGTTCTGTTATAAGTAAATTTACATTTAAAAATCATACTAGATGTACCAGGACATCAGAGGACTAGAAGAGTAAACGAGAAAACGATTTAGAGAGGGAAAGAGAGTAATTTATATTGAAACAGAGAGAGAAAGAAAGAATGATATGCGTGTGTTCTAACAATAGGAAGTATTTGTTCCGGTGGGCGCGGTGATACACGTGCCCGGCTCGCTACCGTCGCGTTCCAAGTTTTTATCTGTAGTCGCGTGTCGACTGCGACGATTCTTTGTTTATTATTTGAGCATCAATTACGTCATGATTATAGCTTCGCTTATCACAATATCGACACTTGATTGGACTGAAATATTATACAATGTAAAATGATATGGAGGCAAAGCTCCAATCCAACGAGTACAAAAGTTTCAAACTGGTATTAACCGGAATAAACACTTCACAATACACAATTGAGTAAAAACGTTAATACTATAGTTTATTCACAACCGCAAAGGTTAAAAGGGCTGAACAAAAAATAGTGGACAAACCGGTGTTGTTACATGCCGCCAGGTGGCGCGGCCGCTCGCCTCAGACCATTGGACTTCCTCTTCCGCTCTCGTGCTGCTTACTACCTCTTTTGTGCTCTCATAAACGGTTTTCTGAGGCATCATTTTATACTCGCCTTTGTAACTATTTTATAACCACAAATGAAATCGACAAGAAAATTATTTATCTTAATAAATATTATCAAGATCGTATATACGAGTACATGATAAATTAAAGCTTAAAGCAATGTAATCTTTTGTAATATGAAAGTCACGCAAAGCCTCTACGCGGTAATAACGAACGGGGATGGGTTACCAGAGTAATGCTAGTTTCACACGAAGGCCAGAACTGGCGAGCAGTATGACAGGGTACTACTGCTATTTTTTGTATGCCCACGCCATGAGAGTAGTGACACAGGTTCAAGTAATAACAGTACTGCAGTGTACTCTCTGTTCTTCCCTCGTGTGAAACCAGCGTAATGCCTTCATATCCGCCCCGCCCGCATCGCTGTAATAGCCCTTACAGTCCCGGAGACGGCGCCTCAAACGTCGGATGACATAATTTAGATCTAGGCTGCGACACGCCCGTCCCACTCAGACGGCCAATTTGTAGATAGAGTATAACTAGACGCGAAATGATTTTATTATCGGACTCGGGGTTTTATATACAAATATGCCTAACTAAATAAAGAAATTGAACTATTGAAAACATGCTGTAAATGTGCTCCGAGTAGCATCGATTTTTCTAGCCACCTCCCTAGACATTTAAAGAGAAATTATTTTTCTTAAGTGTTACAGTGTTAAAATTAAATGAGGGTTATTTCGTTTTCTTTTGGAAGTAATAATATAAAGGTATTTCTAGTACGGTGAGTCATGGAAGAGAAAAAATCGATCCATATCTGAACAGATACTCAAGCACGCGCTTAGCATTCGCATCGCTTTTTTCCGCGCTCCAGCGCATTGTGACGTCACGCCACTTGTTACCAAGGACACGTCTTCGCTTTTATTCAAGTTTTTTTGTTCGAATGCGATTTTCTATTCCAATTTGTAATTCGCACGTGGAATATAAAGCTGCCTTTACACTACTTGGTGTACCAACCATGAACCATAACATGATTTGTTTTTTATATTGCAATTTAATATGGATGACATAATAAGTTCCTTTTATAGTATGAGTAAGTACAATTTATGATGAAATGCGGTATTCTCTTAAATTTGTCTGTTGTAAATTTATTGCCTTAAATGTTTCCTATATCAGATCTACGTGATCTACGTTTATTTGGTACTAAATGATACGATGTTTTCCTGTTAACAAAAAATATTCTGCCTGTTCAAATCCGACGCACGTGTACGGACAATCAATGGCTCTTGATGTTTATTGCCACGACGTCTCTTTGTTGTCAAGTGCTTTTGTGACGTCGGAAACTTGACGTCTTGAACTGGTTCCTTCATTTTGAATGTACTTGTGGTAATAGTCCTTGATGGATATTGTGAGTTTTTTTTTTATAATATAAGGTGGTAAACGAGCAAGCGGCCACCTGAATCTACCGAACTGGAAAGCGACCGCTGCCCATGAACATCCGCAATTGCAGATGCGTTGCCTACCCTTAATTGACGGAGGAGACGCACGTAAAGAGGACATTTCCCCTTCCTATGCGTCTCCTCCACCGTCAAATCCTAAAATTAGGACTCCGGCACCACACTCATCAGAAGAAACGCGGAATTGCTTCCACTTCACGCCTGTTTTCTGTGTGGTCGTGGTCTTACACCAGGCTAGCCGGCCCATTCGTGCAAAGATGTTAAAGCAGGCACTACCACTGTAAAATTAATTTTAGCAAAGGTTCCGTATCATAAGGGCATTCAGAGCTTTTTATTAAAATTAATTAAAGATTGGGTTCAATGTGAATGAAAGGCGAGAAATTAAGTCGCTAACCGACACATGTAAATATCGAGGAGAAAAAAGTTAAATAACAATAAACAGAATAGAAAAGTTCTGCATTTAATATTTAATGCTTTCATCGTTTATTTTATTAAAAGGTTTCAATATACTTGGCTCGCATTGAGAACATTTTCATCTCGCAGAGAATACTTGATTCCGCTGGGAACGGTTTTAACTATGTAGTATATAGGTCGTGACCTCAGACACGTCCCCCCTTCCCCTATATCCCTCCCCTCAGGCCCTCCGGTACTCGGAACGCCCTCAAGCGAGCTCGACGGCTTAACCGATTGAAATCTCTGCTTTGTAGACGATTCTTTAAGTTTGAGAGGAAAGCCTTTCAAAGCTGATTATGTTATAATTTTATAACGGACGTGCTTTTATTCAATTTACGTTTACTTTGTCAGTACTTTTACTTTCAAGGCATAAATTTTGATTTAAAAACATATATATTTTCGTATTATGCCTACATACATTTAGGAACAAGACAGTAGTCGTATACCCTAAAATGGTCAATACGTAACTAAAATATACCGAGCAAATATGTAAAGAGTAGAATAAAAAAACTCGTATTTTAAAAAATAGTCCTCGTTGCGTAAAACCAAACTATAAAAGCGGAAGCTTGCGCGGACGTAAACACGGCAACATCAAAAGCTCTAGTTTTAACGAGTATCACGACCGTCCCGATCGCTTGTCTGGTTTATAGTTTACAACTGATCGTTTATGTTATGTGTAGCTCTCTTTACTTCCGAGATACAAGTCCTGTAGTCCTGGTAACT